GCATTCTGCGGTACCGTGGCTACCCCATCCAGGATCTGGTCCACAAGAGTAATTTCCTCGAGACTGCGTACCTCCTCATCTACGGAGAGCTGCCCACCAGCTCCCAGTCCTCCACCTGGGAGAGCGAGATCATGCACCACACCTACATCCACAGCGACATCGAGGGCATGTTCAAGTCCTTCCGCTACGACTCTCACCCCATGTCCATGTTGACGTCTGCTTTCGCTACCTTGGGCGCCTTTGCCCCAGAGGCAAACCCGTCGCTCCAGGGCCAGAAGCTCTTCACCAAGGCCGCATCCGGGGATCTCGAGGCTCTCCAGAGCCTTGACAAGCAGATTCTCCGCATCATTGGAAAGGCGCCCACTCTTGCCGCCGCATCATACCGCATGCGACAAGGCCGTCCTTTCAACCGCCCGGCGCAGGGACTGTCCTACACCGGCAATTTCCTCTACCTCCTGGATCATCTCTCTGGTCACGAGTACAAGCCGCACCCTGTCCTGGAGAAGGCGCTGGATGCCCTGTTCATTATTCACGCCGATCACGAAGTCAATTGCTCCACCGCCACGGTTCTTCAGGTTGGTAGCTCTCTCGTAGACCCCTACAGTGTCATGGCCGCTGGCTGCAGCGCTCTCTACGGCCCATCCCACGGAGGCGCAAGCGAGAGCGCCATCCGCATGCTCATGGAGATTGGGTCTCCCGAGAACGTGCCCGCGTTCATGCAAAAGGTGGAGAAGAGGGAGCGTGTCCTCGTAGGATTCGGCCACCGGGTCTACAAGAACGTTGATCCGCGATCCACGGCCATCCGAGAGCTCGCAGAGGAGGTGTTCAAGGTCACGGGCCGCAACAAGCTGCTCGACACGGCTCTGACCCTGGCCCAGTACGCGCGGGAGAGCGAGTTTATGCGCAGTCGCAACCTGTACCCCAATGTGGATTTCTACTCGGGGCTGATCTACCAGGCTATGGGATTCCCGCTTGAGTAAGTTTTTCCTCTAGTTCAGGCATCCTGTATCCATCAAGGCATTTTTTTGACTAACCGTTCCCCTTTTCTAGTTTCTACCCTGTTCTCTTCGCTGTCCCTCGCTGTGTTGGGTGGTTGGCCCACTGGAGGCAGCAGATGCTGACGCCTTCGGGTGTCAAGATCTGGAGACCTAGGCAATTATACCTGGGCCATGGAGAGAGAGAGTACGTTGAGGCGGAGAAGAGAAAGGAGAAGCCTGATGCAGCCATCTTTGACGCCCCCGTCCAGGTCCAACACGGCGGAGATAGCAAGAGGAACAATCTGGCGACGTACAGAGACGAGAGGGGATCCGTCACCAAGGCCAAACTGTGATTTTCGATTTCCGGATGGCGGGCTGGAAGTCTGTTTTGATATAGTTGATATGAATACTCATGTACCCTGTGTGTTGTCGACGAATGATTATTGTATGGCGTATTTACAAGGATAGTTACCACAATAGACTGAATGGTTATTTCTTCAACGTTTTCCTCCTAACAGTACAACTCTGGGGCGTCTGATACTCCGATTGCTAGTTCTCTCCTGGGTCGCTTTTCTGATAAAACAGCGCAGCCCGAAATGCAGATATATCAATTCTTCGTGGAGCTCATATACGGAGCCTAACCGGTCGATCCTTGGTATTTAATTTAGATAGTTTGATGTATGAAGTAGGGCGTCAGAGAGGGCAATGCTGTTAAAAAACCCCTGCCCTCAAGCCCCTCATCTCTAGGCCAAGTAGCCACTTACCTCGACAGCTGGCAAAGTCTTTGAGGGCAGCTGAGACCAAAACCCAAATGTTGATGATAGGCACCACGGATACAACGCTGACTGGGACAAATTATCAGTGAGAATCGAGGGCTTGCATGTCAACATCGGTCGGAGCCCGTATACCCTTCGAAAAAGATTTTTGAGTACGCATAGGGGCAATATGGACTTTTAGGACGAGATTAAGGAACATGATGGTAAACAACATAAAGTTCTCCCTGTGAAGAGCAAAGAGTAGAACCGTTGGCCATATAATCGATGTGTACTCCAACATCTCGATATCGGAGGCGTTGTAGCCCCCAGTATGATAGCGACCCAGGGGGAGTATCTCAGGGTTTGTAGTTCAGTTCTCGCCCGGAACTTGGTTAGGAGAGCGAATACTGATAGAGAAAAGCATCGGTCTGTTGTCCCTATCTGGAATCCAGCAGAACAAGGCGACCGCAATTACACCTGCTGGTGGCCTAAATCTCCATAATTGTTCTATTTCCCTCTTCGTCGATAAGAGCCCTTTGTTCTTGCGGGAAGTGACAAGGGTACCAGTAGTGTAATGGCGCATGATGGAAAGAAGGCAGCAAGCAAACCGAGCGCGGGAGGGTGCAGCCAGAAAAGATGCCATTGACTTGTTTCTCCAAACTCGCAACCGTTGTCATCAAAGCTGTTGATAAGCTTTACTTAGGCCCCAGTGGCTTTGCGCGAGTTCCATTGTTGGTCTTGTTCGATTCGTACTTGATGGTGTTTGCGTTTTCTGCTGGCCAAGATCCTTGTCCCAAATTGTCTGTAGCGGCGGCCGAAGAGCGTGAGGCGGTTTCGACGCAGGAGATTGGGCATCCTTTATCCCGATAGTTGTATGGTTCAAACTTGTCAGCTCTATCCTCCGGACGAATGTGTCAGGGAAGAAACAGGATAAACATGGTACGTTCGTAGTTAGAGGTGCGACCGGGATTTTTACTGTCTACATAGTATCTCGCTCTGTCTTCACAAACGGCTAATCTTCCCGCCTTTGTTTGATTGATGCTGCTTGAACCGCACTATATCAGTCACGTCAATGATTACACACATGGCCAGTGCGTATGAAACCAAAAAGCAGCTCGCTTAGAACCAAAGCCAACGCATCATCCTCGCCCTGGGGGGAACGTATGCTGGAACTTCATTGTAAGCGTACCGTGCCGCTTATGCAATTCGCCATATGCAAGGGCCATTGGTACTTTCTGCCGCACTCCTTTCCAAGAGGAGAAGACCGTGCCGTTTTCTCCAGGTTGTCGTCGTGTGTGAGATGGGTCAGGCCTAAAGAAGCCGTTGCGGAGCCAGTTCTGATCCTTGTTTGCGCCTTTGATCTCGGCTCCTCTGGTTAGGTTCAGCGCCGAGTCAATCCCTACCTTTTTAGATGTAGCGATTAATCAAGCGTGTGGTAAGGTCCCATGAACAACGTTCGTTGAGAACCGAGCCTGGTTTCCTCACGAAATAGCATTGATCGCCTCGTCGTGCGTTTGAACAAGGTCCTAATCGAAAGTCCGTATGAGAATTGTAGACAAGGAGGATAACGAGGGTGTGCCAGAATGCTGAAACTTACAGTGTCTTACTTCCAGCCTTGATTTAACAAGGAGCATTGCCAGCCATGAAATTCAAATGTCCCGGTGCCTCTTAATGAGGATGTAAGGGCTTCTCAGTAACCATTCCTTTTCATATAACAATTTTCTCCCCTTTTATTCTATTAATTGGTCATGCCGGCTTGGGGTAGCCTATTACGATGAATATCAAAAAAATAGCTAGTAGTTGCAACCTTCACGACCCCTAAGAGCTAATAGTCAGAAGATTCTGTGTATAAAAATTATGTCATAGCTTGAACAGACACTTGCTGTGGCTTGGGTAGATCAGATACCTATTCTACGACTCATTGTCCGCTATTCTTGTAACGGCGTTTCGATCAGGGCCAAACCGTCATAACTTGGCAGGGAATTGGCATTTGCTGCATGATGCTATAAACGATAGACAGCTGCTTGAATGGCCCCTAGCATCAGCGCAGTGCCTCCAAATTAGAAGTATGTATACCCATCCCTAGACTATCGGCCGATTTCCAGCGGCTCGCCACCGTGTGTTGGATCCGCATCCCTGTATTTATTGGCAGATTGATGAACTTGGTTCAATGTTTCTTCATTAACATCCTGGGCGAAATGTCTGGAGAATAGTCTTCGATCGATAATTAAGCCCAGGACGTTGCGGGTGCATCAACCGGGTCAGAAATAATGAGAACTCTTGATGGCAATGGGTCAACCTTTGGACGAAGTAAGCATTCCAATAATCGAAGAACATGATAGTCAAATCCAGCTGTATTGGATGAAAGATGATTGTAGACCAATTATTTCCATCGTCGCTATCAACCACAGACCGGCTCAAAACTGCGCTCCGTAGCGCTGCACTCGATTCCTGCTGCAATGTTATTAAATTGACGGTCCAAGTGGCTTGTGTGGCAAAAATATACGGACACAGCGGCTGCAATCATGTACTACATTGCAGGTAAGCGACTCATCGCAAATGCAACCACACACTAATTGAGCTGCTAGGTTCGAGGCCATGTCTTGGAAGCATGTGTGAGTCAACTTGGCTGTCTCAGTACGACTTCGGACAATACAAATGTTACCTACGGCTCAGAATAGAACTCTAAGAGGACTGCAGTGGTGTTGTAAGCCCCTATTTTCCGGGTTGCGCAAGTCAACCACCCCGATGGCCTGCCAAAAGATGCATAGAATCAGCCCAACTTGAGATGAAGAGAAGACTGGTCGGTTACGTCCATTCTACTTCGGGACAGCCTGCCGAATTGGTTGTCAGGAAAAGACGGCTATTGCTCCGCAATGCTTCCCCAATCAGTGCAGCTGATGTGCATATGCGAGCTCACGCATATCACATACATATGCTTACTCTTGGTACCTGCCCCTGAGCAAGCATCTCCATCCCTCGATGCATCTCTGGGCTACTGGGCCGCAGCCCATCTACCAATGCGAACAGCCATTATGCGAGAACCGAGTGGTAAGCCGCCACCGCATTCCACATCCAGCAGGTACTAATCGGCAAGTTGGTGTAGTGGTTTTGGCGGAGGACGTTCTCGAATTATTATCAGACGATTACGATGCCAATAATACTACCCACCTATTTGGCTATTCTAGCCAAGAGATGTGCCTCGATCTATATAAGGCTGTCCTGGGTCGGCGCTGCCCTAAAGCCATGCCCTCATCTGCCATCGCCATTACACTCTCGAATCTTCCATTTCAAGATGAAGTTCGCTGCTATCTGCCTCTCGGTCATTTCCGTCGTCGCGGCGGCAGCTGTCGCCCCAGTCATCGAGGCGCGCCAGAGCATCGAGACCGTCACCGACGAGATCTTGTTCAGCATCACGCTTCCAGCCTTCACAGCCCGTCGAAATGCGCTTGACCCCAACACCGTCGACTGGACCTCTGACGGATGCACCTCGTCTCCTGACAACCCGTTCGGATTCCCTTTCACTCCTGCGTGCAATCGACATGATTTTGGCTACAACAACTATCGTGCCCAAACTCGCCTCACCGTGAGCACCAAGAAGAAGATCGACGACAACTTCAAGAAAGAGTAAGTTTTACCTGCCCCCTCTTCGAAAGTACAATAAAGTTATCGAGCAAACGATTGACGTGGACCATCACAGCCTCTACTACCAATGCAGCAGCGTCTCCTTGCGCTGGCTATGCGAGGCCCTTGCTGATGTCTACTACGCTTTCGTCCGAGTCTTCGCTGGAGGCGGTGATGTCGCCCCCGGAAAGCGAGATGATGAGCTCGTCCAAATCTATGAGGAGAAGCTGGCCCTCTATAACCAGCTCCTTGAGGAGGCCAGGGCAAATGGGATAATTGAAGGATAGTCATGCAGTTGGGAGGATTAGTTGGGAATTAGCTACCTGGTAGTCAACCTATAGAAAACTCAAGATCAAAACTCTGAACTGTTCTATATCTGGCAACGCCCGTTTATGTCAATCTCTGTCAATTTCATCACTCCGCTATCCGGCTTTCTCCTGAACTCCAAAAGTAAATCTAACCCGTCCTTTTACAATGTAACTGCTCCGTCAACTCCAGATGATCCCGGCATGTGAGTTTAGTTCAGTCTTCAAAACGGGCATATTCGATCAGGTGCGCGTGTATACTTCTTTCTCACTGACAAAGGAGATCGAAAGTCTCAAGTGTAGGAACTCTAGACAAAATCGGAATCAGACAAGCAAGCCAAGACTCCTGCTGTCGGAGCTGGGAGCTGGTTCTCAGCAGTGAACTGCTGGTCGAGGAAGACGTCTCGAAAGTACTCGACGAATCCGTCCCTGGCGCGGGTCGAGGGGTATCGGTAGCGCGAGACCAGGTACTGGCACCGTCCGACCTCGACCAACCTCCGGTTGTTCGCGTGGAAGATATGGCTGCCAACGAGGTCCTCGGGCTTCAGTTTCCGGGTGGCCTTGATGTTGTAGTCGATGAACCAGATACGCTGTCCTGGGCTCATGGACCACTTATCCTTGCTGATCACAGAGAAGATTTCCTCGAGGGCGTTTCGGTGGCTGTACCCAGCATCGACGTAGTGTCTCTGAGACTGGAAAAAGCTGGTGATCGATTCGAGGAATCTAGGGTGCCCCCATTCTGCCTTGTATTCGAACGCGATGTGGCGTGGGACCATGTTCCGGCCGGTTATGGCCATGGTCGTGTTCTCATCCATGCCGTGGACCTGGAAGCAATGCAGATCGTTCACGAAGTTCACGAGCAGACTCGAAAAGGAAGATTCCCCCATCAGGTGGAAGTTGTCGAGTTGGCTGGGATGGAAGCTGGGGTCGGTTCGGGTATAGTGCTTCTCCAGCACTTCTCGGGATTCGAACGATGTGTTCCACAATCCCGCGTTGGCGATGTAGCAAGATGGATTCTCGCTGGCCACCCATGAGTTGCACATGATTTCCCTTGGGTCCCAGGAGGGAGGATGAACTGGGCACAGGTCTCTGTTGTTGTCGATGTTCTCGTCGTTGTTGGTCAAAGCATGCTGGTGGGCTGCAGCTACCTTTCGTTCCCGCAGACTTCCTCCGATTCGAAAGAAATGCGCCTCAGCTATTCCATCGACATTTTCGATAGCTTCAGCCCAGATCTTGAGTCTCAGTTCCGTTGGAAGGGAGTTAAAGGTCAAGGGAGTTTTTGGCTCCATCGTTGGCTTCGTTCTTGAACTCTGCTCTCGACCAAGTCAGGAGAACCTTTTGACTTGGTAATCAAGAAAGATAAGTTGGGGGAGTGAGAAAATAGATGGTGTTCTTTTCCAAACAGAAAGAGAACTTGAAGGGCAGCTGTGTGAGGAGCTATGTTCTGTGTTGTTGAGAATGCAGGTTTGGGTTGAGCTGGTTCTGCGTGAGGAAGAAAGGGTTGGTTGCTGGGGTGTTTCTAGAGTAAGCGAATGGTAGGTGAACTGATCTGTTTCCCGCTTTCCCGGAGAGCAACGCGCGCGTCAACTACACGAATAACACAGCCGCGTGAACACGTCCTTACGCCGCAGTTGCTTTCACTTATGAGCTGTTAATCGTGTAACTAGAAACCAACGTTACATCTCTATTTAATCAGCTCATACTTGGCTTTTAAAGTGATATTCAGATTAGTGCTTTTGTATATTAATACATCAGGGTGAGTTGTCTGTTTCATGAAGATGAATGTGTAATTATTAGGGGTGGGATCTCTAACAAATCAATTATATCTCATGATTAGTATTCAAAGGAGAAAAAATCTTGGCAAGGTGGATACATAAGAGACTTGCAACATTTCAACTTAACGATCCATTAATTTCACGCCTGGTATAAATGCTTGACTATGTACCGTTCGAAATGCCCACATATCAATAACTACACAAGTTCTCGCTGACTATTATTATATTTTAAACTCTTTAATCAACGAGCTTCTGTTTATAGCTAGAAAAATAGGCTTCTTAAGATAAAATTCATCTCCCGTGCTCGAACGTGTACTTAGACTCGGGTTTCGTTTGGAGCATAGCTGCGCCTATCTATCTATACACTTCAAAAAGGCCCTCACCCATTCTCGAATTATAGCCCACAACCTAAAGGTGCTTCAAATAACTTTCATGCCAGGCAAGTGATGTAGAGGGCCACAGGGCTGGCCTTTACCTGCAGTGGTCACCCTTGGTTACCCGTTCGCCCTCGCTTCTTCCTCCACGACCGGATGTTGACTTCCTTCAAAAGTTCCGTAAATTCATGCTAAGAGTGGTTTATGAAGCTGGCCTTAATACCATCCGTATCCCATCTGCTTGTTTCGCTGTAATTCCTCTTGTCTGACATTTCTATTGATAGCAAAAACAAGGCGACGAAACTCTATCCCAGAACCAAACCGGATCGTATGAGGACGACATTACAATTGTATGGTTGCGAACTGACCTCAAATCAGTCACATTGCATTACGCATTTGCCGCTGTCAACCAGAGCAATTCCCTCAAGTCCAACTCTAGTGAAAGGCTTACTTCCGAGCCGCCATCGCGATAATAACTCAAGACTCGATATTGGCACGTTCCCCGCTACGGTTCCTTGGACCTCGCTCGAACGGCCGGAAAGCACTGGTCGGTATCGTGTCGCACTTGGTATTCTGCAAGACCCTTTCATTCTTCTCTTTTGAGATATTTCGCCATCTGGGCCGCTCAGTCATGTCTCGGGGGGGGAATCTCTAGCCGTCTCTCTGTAGACAGCCCCATATCGATGGATAAGGCCTTGGTGAATATACCTCGACGGGTTATCCAGACAATACTCATCGCCCGCGGGAGTACGTACGGTGAGGCCTTTCCAGGCCCCTGTGGTCCGAGCCGTCTCTGCTGGTTGGTGTAGACGACCTTGTTGGTTCATAATCGCGGGGATGTAACTCATAGAACGCCCACGTTAATTTGTTGCTGGTGGTATCGTGGCCGGTAAGCAGGAATGCCTTGGCCGAGTGCAAAGCGCTGTATATGAGGTCTTCTGTGAGAGTATCAACATCTTGTAGACTCAGGGGGGGAATGCTGTATGTTTCCAGCTTTACGGCTGGACCCAACTGCTCTGTGTGCTCTAGACGGAGGATGTCTTGATTGATGAAGTCGATTCCGAGCACCAAGCCAGCGGCCTTGGAAGACTTTGCGCGGGATAAGCCATCAAGTGGGGAGTTAGTTCGGTCGCTTACATCTGTGTGAAGCAGGTGTTTGAAAACTTGAACGAGTTTCCCTTGGTGAGAGGGGCCAGAAGCCTGTGTGCCCAGAGCCTCATCTATTCCCGCTAATCCTCTGATGTCGAAAACTAAATTGACAATGGAACTGCCTAGCGAGAACTCAGCCCCCGATGTAGCCAACTGATCCAAATTTGCAATGGGTGCCGGCGTACTCTCTATTCTTTTTGGAAGGCAAGGTCATCGGGAGTATCGATGAGAGCCTAGGGCCGAACCTTCGTCTAAGGGATTTCCAGGGTCTTCCAAGAGATTTCCAGTAGAGATGGACACATAGGATCGATTTTGAGCGCAATCGAGGCTCCATGTAAATTGGTGAAACCTTGGGGAGACTATACAAGTAAAAGCTAGAGGCTTCGAATATCTCTTCCGCGATAGAATGGTCCGATATGGTCGCATATGGGTCGCTAACCGGCTTGAGATCGAGGAATATGAGAATGAATACTCTGCCTCATTTCGGCGAAGACGGCATCTAGAACGTATCTTATAAGCAAGCCTCAAAAAAGAATTGGGATAAGCCAAGTGTTACCTGGATGGCGATTGAGCTTGCCACGCTCGAGAAAGTCGCCAATAGCCTTCGTATGTCCAAGTATGATCCCCAGGGGTGGGTGGTTGGAGAAAGTGGGGATACTGTCCCAACCGTAGGCAAAGAACGGCGTCTGTTGTAGATTTATACTATAAAAAAAACGTAAAGAAAGTGGCGAATAGAGTTGGCATGAGCACTTTGTGTGTGTGTGTGTGTGTGTGTGTGTGTGTGTTGGGGTTGGTAAGATCGAACTTGGCAGTGGCTGAAGAAGTTGCGTATTCGTATAACTGACGCATGTGGACCGAATTGCGTCTTCGATGCTAAGAAAGTAGTCTTAAACCAGTCGTCGAGTAGCGCAAATATGATGACACGGTTTTCGACCTTCTTTGTTATCTTAATAAGTAGCCACATTGATTCATTTCTCCAAAACCACCCACCCCTTGTGGCTGAGACCCCACTTGCTAATCAGGATTAAAAGAGAACAGACCTTAATAGACAATAGAGGGGCTAGGCCTGTATGAATTGACTAATGCAAGGGATGGCGGCTAGGTCAGGTCCGCAGTGATCCCTTGTCTTCGTGGAAGACAGAGAGGTCCGTTTCCTTGACTGTTACGACAGCAGGCGGGTAGTTCAAGTCTCTACGAGTTGACTGTCCTGGCGGATGACTGCTAGGCTCGACTTACAGCTATCTTGTTATGACGGAAGCCGTAGGTCGGGTTGGTAGCAATCTCTCGTCTCAAGGGCAGATGCGTAAATCCGATCTCTACCAATCAGCTGACGCTACGGATGACTTACCGGGTCGGCCATATGACGATCAGCTGATGTGACAGTTAAGGGACCCGACCTCTTTGTCTTCTGTCAGGGCAAGCGACTGTTGGGCCCGGCGTACGGCGATTTATAATCTTGACAGCAGACAGGGGGTCGGCTACTTACGACTTGACTGTCGCTACGGATGACAGCTGGGTCAGGTTCATAGCAATCGCTCGCCATAACAGCAGACAGAGAGGCTAAGCTCCTAGGAACCAACTATCCTGAGATGGAAGCTAGGCCTGGCTTCTAGCTATCGCTTGTCTTCGCAGTAGATGGGTGGGTTAGCACGTACAAGCACATCGCATGCCATTAAACCTAGACTGGGCGATTGCCCCTGCAAAGCAGTCAAAGCTCGAAGAAAGAGCCCGTAAAATACTCTTCCAAGGATACTGTCAACGTCTCTATGTTTGTATTTCAAACACCGAGGATCCCGCAGGAGTGCAAAGGGCATCTGTACTCTAACGCTTCTTACTAGGAGATATCTAACAAACAGGCTTGAATTGGCTCACGCGTGGGCAGTAGGTCAAGGGGTGCAAGTTATCAGGGCAACTCCAGAGCAGCCGCGGGCGGAGGAACGATTGATATCTGTCCAAATAATTACCAAGGAGGGTTTACATCTACCTAAAGAAGTGCATGGAGTAAGCAGAGTATAGAATAATATGAAGAAACTAGTAAAGGGGGTTGAATAGGGAGAAGAGCGTGTGTTTATTCTGATGTAGGGCCGGAATCTATACCTGAGCTAAGTCAGAAGGGGGAGAACCAACCCTAAAAAACCGGCCCCCAATCCGACCTTACTATAGATTCATTATGATTTTTTTTTAAAAATTTTCTGTCAAAGAGGCTTTTGGCAAGTCAGGGTTTAAGCATTCTAGCGGGGGTCCGGTCATCCGCCCCTAGCTTGCCTCTTAAAGGGCCAGATTCATGACAGACCCTACCCCAGCATCTCGCACGCGGGCCCCTTCTTTCCCTTAGTTAGGATGGGAGCAACTATCAAATAGCCTGGCGTAGCGGCCAAAACAAAGATATGTCTCCAAATTTAGCACCAGTGTGCAAAATTCTTTAGTTTCTTCGACCTGAACAATCTACCTATAGGTGCTTGGAGACTGGAAAGAACACCGTGACGAGTGAGAGAACGGGAGAGAAATCTGCTAGTATTCGCTTTCTCTGTTGCAGAGTCTATCAACACATCTTACATTTAGTTAAGAAAGGTAAGGATTACACAGGATAGTGAGTCAGGGCCTACATGCTCTTCCCTACCACAATAGCTGTAACGCTAAACCAATTATAGCACTCTAAATGTTCTTCAAGCGTATCTATCAGGGGTCTCTTTGAAAATATCTAATCGAGATGTATTCTCTATTGTCCCTTCCTCTTCTAATACTCCCCCTCGGAGCAGCTTGCGAAAGGGTCAGCTCTGAGAAACGAGAGGGCAACTGAATGCCGGCCCATAAACAACTACCCCTTGCTTCATTTATGCATACACCCAGGGACTACTTCGGATCTTCATTGTAATACATAGAACGAGTCTGTTGGGTGAACATGGGTCACTACATTCAGAAATAGCCAACGAAACCGAGGATGTGATCGCGGACTATCACGATTGTCAATCGATGAACAAATTAATAATCACCGAGATATATGGCAATTAACTCTAGTAGAGCAATTTAAATATGAGGTGGGTTACCGCAAATCGTGGGAAGCGAAGCAAGCGATTCAGTCAACGCAAAGAACATCCTCAAGTTTTATTTTCTTCCTCGCAGATTCCTGCTAAAGAAGGTGCTTCCTTCCTCAAGAGATTACCCAAGATTTTCCATTATTTCGTCTATCCTCAACACATCTTTCCATACTACTTTGAGAGGTGGAACAATCAGTCACCTACTTCGTCTCAAGCTTCGGAAACCAAGAGCCAAGACAAGCGACACGCGAAGATGTCTGGGGCAGCATTTACGCCAGAGCAACAAATGATGCTCGTTGTTTCAGCAAAATGCCTGCTCTCGTGGGGCCGAAGACTTATGGAATGGAGGTCAACCGAACCCTCACTTGACTGGTCAAGACCTTATCTGACAAGTACAGCGGAGCGAAGCCTCGCCCGTTTTATGGCGATCCGATTTTGCAAATATCAACCTACTGACGATTGGGACGGCATCTTAAGTTGGGCCTGCCGTGAAATAGGGACCATGCCGCCTGCAAGAAAAGAATGGTTGTATCCAACTTGGGTACGGAATTGCGAAACCATTTTCATCCGATGCAGACGCAACGGCCCGCTTGGCTTTCATGCACTTTTCGCGGGTAAGTAAATATGAAATATATGAGAAATATATATCACGTTTAAATATTGACTGATATTTTAATAGGAACGGCCTTATCCTTAAGTGTCTTGCAGAAGCCTTCCCCCCCATTAGATGAACTACTGCCAGCTCCAAGCCAGTCGGCGCCGCCGAATACTGCCCCCCTCCTCGACTTCGACCTACATCTTTATCATCTGGGGGTCGATGTCCCAGTGGATTACAATGTGTACAAGTCATTTGCAGAAGCCCTGAGCTTAACAAGCATCAGGGAGCCCGGCGAGATTGCCGCCCAAGCCCACGCAAGCCAAGCTGTGGTTGTCATTTCAAGCGACGATGAAGCTACGAGCAACGATGAAGCTATGAGCAACGATGAAGCTATGAGCAACGATGAAGCTGTGAGCAACGATGAAGCTATGGCAGAAGCTCGAGCCCACGCAAGCCAAGCTGTGGTTGGCATTTCAAGCGACGATGAATCTGCGTCCGACACATCAGGTTCGAGTGCAGACTATCGTGCACCTACTACTCATATCCAGAAGGACTTGACATCTAAGCCCTATTCCATGCATGCACTGTCCGTTGCGCTTAGGCCTGAAGCATCAGACAGTGGAAGCCAGCTAGGTGCAGGAAGAAATGGGACTTCTCAGCTACCTGAACCATGGGCTGCTTTTGTGGAGAGATGTCTGCACCAACTGGTAAGTTCTTTGATCCCTTGAGTAAAAGAAAATTCTAACGCAAATCAGAAATGCTCAGGCACACTAGTGGAAACATTGAGAACACTCACAACACCAGTGGTCTTCCATGGTGGTCGTTCAAACCGTATCTCGTTTAGGCCTGATCCACTCCAAGTTCTCTTATGTGCGAACCGCCCACATGAGGTCTCGGAAGTCAAGATCTACTTCTCTGACCAGTGCGAGAGTTTCCAGTGGATGCAGGGGGATGCTGTGATACTTCAGGCACCTTGCGAGGTTGAGGCATCCCATATTAAGTACATCTCAGTGATGGTGGACAACCGCGGCGAACGAGTCCCCCCGACGAGCGAAGAGCTCCCTCACCTTTCCAGCTAAAACTACCTAAGGTAGGTAGACAAAAATGAGCAGGATAAAGCCCTCAGGGGCTGCCAATGCGCCACATGGTACTTCATGCCACGACACGCAACAGTAGGTACTCATCACATGCTAGCTTTAGCCTATTGTTCCAAACTTTCAATCTACATTCATTTGCTTCTCGCTCGGGATTTTGTGTGTATGAATAGCTCTGTCCACGTAAGCGCCAAAACGGTTGGGCCAGCCAATTACCCGGCTGGGTTAACTGGTGAAGTTCTAGTTCTTTTGAAGCTACTATTGTTATCATGAATCCTATCCCTCCCCGCCCCTTTGATCCCTCTAAACACTCATCCCAGCAGAGGTAGACCCTTGTCTTCTGAGACAGAGAGACATACAATGACGCCGTCACCTGGGCCCAGAAAGCCTAAACGTTCCTCCTTTTCAGATAATCATTTGTATCTTGTAACTTCCGAGATCTAACACCACTCTGGTCTAGCTCGTGATCAACTTTGATGCGGAAATCACATTGATGAAAGACGCCCGATATGACCACGGAGCGTCCAACCTTGATCATAGCTGACTCCATCATCAATAGCAAGCTATGATATACTACTCCCATCGCAGATTAGTGTCTCCTGGTGATCCCGAATTCACAATGCCCGTCTCAATATTTACAAACCCAATGATCCACCTAATGAGGACCGTGTCCCATCCTGTTGCGCATGTGATTATTGCGTGGACTGCGTGCAACCATCAATGTTCTAAAATTACGAATGTTGATGTTACAACTTGTAATAATAACAGTCAATTAATATCGCATAGTGCCTCCCCTCTAACTCTTCGCCGCGTAGGTCGGTGAACAATATCTACAGTTGAAGACCTGTTAGAGAACTCGACCTCGCGTGCGTGTCTGTTGACTGACCATCCATTTGTCATCTCCAGCTGGGTTTCGAACCGAGGGTTATATCACATTGCTCGAGCTAGCTCCTGGCCTTCGCATGGCAATGTATTTTTTGCAGTCAGTGACGTATTACAGTTGTGCTGCAGCGTGTCTGCTCAATAGCAAGGACCTAAAAATCGATGCCCTGGCCTTGAAGTTCGACGCCGCTAGTGCATTCTACATGGAAGGATTTGCAAATAAAATCTACCCTTGCTCAGCAACAAAAAGATAAGGTGCATGCAGGCTGCGGCAATTGTTGATAATATCGGAAGATGTTGAGGGCTATAGCAATTGCTCGTCGCGGCAGACAAGTTGGTTAGGGCCGTAGCAACTGCTCGTGGTCGACAATTTATTTAGTGCCATAGGGGTACTTCTATCGCTGTAGCAGACAGGCTGGTCAGGGGTAGTTTAGTGCCGCAAGAGCCGCTCGTAGCGCCGGAAGATAGGTTGTTCCGGGCTTCAGCGGTCACCTACTCATCATCTATCCACTGTACCGTACCTACGGTAGTTGACGAGCTTGACCTCTCTGTCCGTTGCAGCGACGAGCAGTTGCTGCGTGCTCCGTCGCTACGGTCCTGACCAGCCTGTCTGTTGCTGCGATGAGTGAGAACCCAAAAATTGACGCCTTCTAGTGTTCGCAACTAAAATCCACCCCTTTGTCAGTAACTTAAAGATACAAGCAAGCTGTAGCAACCCTTCGTTATTTCGGCAGACAGGCTGTTCAGGGCTGCAGCAATCGCTCGTCTTGACGAGAGACAGCTGGATCAGGTCTGCAGCGATCGCTTGTCGCAGCAGCAAACAGCCAGGTCATGCCCGTAGCGATTTCTTGTCGAAGGACAGCCTGTTCAGAGCCGTAGCAATTGCTCATCGCTGCAGCGGACGGACGATAAAGGTATACCTAAGGTACCTAGGTCAGGTAGGTACCCAAGTGGGTGACATAACAGATGAGACACCAAATTCTTAGGTCTTCTTTACAGCTAAATACTACAGCTAAAAATGCTCAGGCTTCAGGGGGAAAACTATGAATATTTTCTATAGCCTTTGAATTATATTACAGTCTTTTTCTAATTTAATTTACGTGGGTTTAGGCTGGAAATATGGCGAACAAAACATAGAGCCTCTTCCGTCATGGATGCTTGAGGTACTAGTTTGGTGTCTCATCTGTTATGTCATCCACTTGGTACCCTAGTATACCTCGGTGACTGCCCGGTGTAGCGCCCGGAACAACCTATTTTCCAGCGCCACGAGCAGCCACTGTGGCACTAGATCATCGTGTTGAGTTGTCGGGCTCTGGCAGCTTCCATTGCTGTTGAATTTTATTCTCTTTCTCCTAATGGCACTAGACTAGCCCTGACCAACCTGTCTGCTACAGTGGTTTGAAACTGTCCTCCAACACGACGAGCAGTTGCTACGGCTCTGAACAGCCTGCCCGCTGCAGCGACGAGCAGTTGCTGTGAGCCCGACCTCTCCATCTTCCGATGCGACGAACGATTACTGTGAACCCGACCTCTCCGTCTTCCAACGCGATGAGCGGTTGCTGCGAGCCCGACCTCCTATTCCAGCGACAAGCAGTTTCTGGGAGCCCGGCCTCTCTGTCCGCTGCAGCGTCAAGCAGTTACTGCGAACCCGACCTCTCCGTCTCTGCTGCTGCAACGAGCGATTGCCGTAGCCCTGAGCACCTGTCCTCTGACGCGACAAGCGATTGCTACAAGCCCGGCCTCTCTGTCCGCTGCAGCGACAAGCAGTTGCTGTGGCCCTCAACATCTTCCGATATTATAAACAGCTGCTGTAGCCTACTTGAATCTTTACGTCACTGAGCAAGGTATAGATTTTAGTTGCAGATCTTAGAGCCCAGAATGTACTAGCGGCATCGATTTGCGAGACAGGGGCCTGGATTTTTTGGGTTCTTTCTCCTCAACAACGCCTCAAGAGTGAACCGCACCTAGGTAACAGGTGGATTCGGCAATACCGCCACAGATACCTTGAAAATGTGTCCGTAGTACTGTGGTTGTGCTTTTGTCTTGGGTATATACAACGTAATTCCATACTACTAAATAATAGCGCGCTGACATTCGGGCCATACAGCCACAAGGGGACGGTTAGCCCCAGCTCCCCAGGCCGCCCGGCTGTCCCACACAGATGGCTTGCCTCCGCTCGCGCTAAGCGTGTCCACTAGTAGACAACACTAAAAATCCACGTAAAAATATACATACTCATGCTAGTACAGTAAACGAGATCCTTCTTGGCCATTTCTCTTCCTCTTTGAAACATTCAGCTGCCAGAAATCTGGCCCCCTCCCACCACAAACACCAGCACTGTGATTTGGTGCCAGCAGCGCGAACTTTGGATAAACTGCATGGCCAGATGTCATCGAGCGTCTTCAAGCAAAAAGATGGAATGCGAGTGCTGAATTATTCCCCCTAGTTCAATATATGGATGCTTGTTCTACCTGCTGAGCAATTTGCATATGACCCATCTACCGTCGATGCCTTCAAGGACCGCCAGTGCACCATGCGCCTTCCACCGAAGCAACAAGTCCAGCCCAGCCGCAGCCAATATCGCCTGCTTTCAACCCAGCCCTATCTCTTGCACCAATGTGCACCCTGACGACAAGAGGATCTCAGAGGCCAGAAGGCCCAGCATAGTTGGGGCAGGAGGGGCAGCAGCAGCGGGCTGATACAAGCTTGTGTGGGGGAGCGACGTGCATCACGTTATATACGTTGCCCATTACCTGGGTACCCCAGCCGCTAATCGGGGGGGTTGGGATTTGGGCGAGTTGGCTGGGCAAGCCAGGTACCCCAACGCCGGGGATGTACGCCTGGTGAGCAGGCAGTGGGGATGGAACCGCAACAACTGCTTGATGTTGGACAAGGGCCGACGAGAACCCTTCTTGCCCTCCAAGCTGAGGGGCCGCGCCAAAGCCTTGCTGTATATTGTGGGGATTGAGAGCGGGAGGATCGGCAGGTGGATGGAGTGGGTGATCCATCACATACGGCATCGGGACCGGGGGTGCAGCGCTCGAGTGGGCGGTCGCCACGAGCGAGTCGCCTGTAGCTGTGCCTGCAAGTGGTTAGCACCCATAGGCAAATAACTTTGCGTCGGGGAAAAGGGTACCTGTGGCTGCTGTGGGGGGTGGGAGCATATGAGTGCTCGAACTCGAAGGTTGGGAAGTTTCTGGGACAAAAGGGTTCTCCATTTTGGAGTATGGTTGGCTGGAATATGTTGTTGGTTATGAGGAATCGTACCGGATGGCTGTAGGGATAAGTTTAGGAGGAGAGATGGAGGAGAGATGGGGGGGAGATGGGGGGGAATTTATATCATGATGGTTCAGGCAGAATGCTATGGTGAAGTGCCCTTCCAGAGGAGGCTCCCAGAACACATCTCTACCTTGACCACGCACATTTCCCCTGCCTGTGCTCACCTCCCCTTGCCTCTCTTCCATCTGTCTCTCGCGACAAGAGCCGGGAAAGGCAGTCCCTGGGAACCAGAGACCGTGGCTGCCCTGCTCTGAGCCAGTCAATTTCTTTTCAAGAGCACGGACACAAGGCGGGACCAACCCAAACCTCCCATAGACGAGAGTGAGGCCTCTGTGAGGACCGTTCCATGCGGTGGGCGTGATACAAGCTCACGGCAACTGGCTCATGGGAAATAAGCGCCCCACAGACGTGAGTGCAATACTTCAGCGCTTCCTTGCTCGCAACTCAACCCTCTGCCTCATCTTACACCCAGCAATAAATACGGCAAAGCATATGCCTACTAGGACTGCACAGAGTCACTACCGGCTAATCATCAGCCGCCCGGCCATGCCCTCGGATGCGGCTCTAGAATCATGGCGGTTAGTGACTCGGGCACCGTACCAAGTCAGTATCAGTGCAGCTGAGAAGAAAAAGGCTGTAGTACACGCAGCTCAGCTGCTGTGGAGAATCCCATGGGAGTCAGTCAAGCCTACTAGCCATCGGCCGGGCTTACACAACTGGCCTAGGTTATCCTCGACTGGCCCTGCAGATCCGCGAGGAGATCCTCTAGAAGCAAATGCATCTTCGCCTACTCAAACTCTGCTCGTGCAACCGCCCGCTGGTCT